CTACCTTTGCTGCAAGTCAGAAATATCCACCTTGCTAGATTTGCCCCAGTCAGCTCTTAGTGCTGTTATCTTGAAATGGAATTGTCTAGGAGTGACATTAGCTCAGCCACGAAGCCACGTAGTGCGTGAAAATCCTCTGTTGCATCACTCACTACAGAGTTCCAAAGTGGCTCTGGAATCAGCCCAAGATCTGTGCGTCAAGAGTTTCATGAAATGGGTTTCCATGCCTGTATTCAAGCTGTCCACAGGCCTAAGATCAGTTAAGTCAGATGAGTTCTCCGGAGAAATGAATCACGCTTCACTGTCTGGCAGTTTGATGGATGAATCTGGACTTGGTGGATGCAAGGAAAACACTACCTACCGGAATGCATAGTGCTACCAGTAAAGTTTGGTGAAGGAACAGTAACAGCCTCGGTTTGTTTTTCAGGGTTTGGGCTCAGCCCCTTATTCCAGTGAAAGCTAATGGTAATGCTATAGCATAATGAGAAATTTTAGACAATTCTATGCTTCCAACTTCGTGGCCGCAGTTTCGGGAAAGCCCTTTCCTGTTCCAGCAAGGACCTCAACTCCACTAAGCACCTTTGGGAGGAATTTAAACGTTGATTATCAGGCCTTCTTGTCCAACATCAGTGCCTGACCTCATAAATGCTGCTTTGACTGAGTGGGCCCAAACTCTCACAGATGCACTCCAAAATCTTCCTGAAGGTCTGGGGGCTGTTGTAGCCACAAAAGGGGAGGGGCAGCTCCATATTAGTGCCCATGGTTCTGGAATGTGACGTCCAACAAACTCATACACATGTGATGGTCAGTTGTCCACGTACTTTTGGCCATACAGTGTATTTTAATATAAGACGGATCTTTATTGGTGATTTGTATTTCCAGATTGCACATATTTTATCTGTTTAACAGATAAAACTTTAATACTGTAACTAACATTGTATCTTCTCTGTGAGTGTAGATAAAGGAGTCTTGTTTCTGGGGGACTAACTTTGTGATGAGCGGCTCAGACTGCGGTCATATCTTCATCTGGGACAGGCATACAGGAGAGCACTTAATGCTGCTGGAGGCTGACAATCATGTGGTCAACTGCCTACAGCCTCACCCCTACGACCCCAGTAAGTACCACAGAGCCTGGATGGTTTGTATAGGAGAAAATCATTTTTAAAATGGTGTACATATAACCTGCCTTTTCTTCACTGTGTCTGTATGTACCAGTTCTGGCTTCATCCGGGATTGACTATGACATCAAACTCTGGTCACCACTGGAGCAATCGCCATCGTTTAACAGAGACCTTGCTGATGAGGTAAAGGAAAACTGCTCAGTTAATTGTTTTTAATGCCTTTAATTCCTCATGACAAGAAAGCTGTGTTCATGCTGCTCTGTTGATATAGATCAGTAGTCACCAAACCTGCTCCTGAAGATCTTTTTTCAGGCCTGCAGGAAGGTTTAGACCGCTGACTTAAAGTGCTTTTCCACTGTACAGTGTGGTTCTGTTACTAATCCCAATCCAGAACCGGAATCCAGTTTGACACATTACTGCTTGGTCTTGATTTGGTGAGCTGGGTCAGAGTTGGCTTCGTCAGGGTGTGGGCCGTTATTGTTCAATTACATATTTTCATTCCAAAAGCATCCATTTTCTAAATTTAACTTTAAACGAAAAAGGAAAATATTCTAGGAATATGTTCTTAACTTTTAATGTAAGTTAATGTAAAGGGATTTTATTCCAAGTGATGCTGAAGCATTTCTTTTTTAACACAAGGTAAAGTACAGCCGCTGTGTTCAAATGATGTAATAAAAAAAAAAGGAGATGTTGTAGAACCACTAGAGGGCAGCAGGGGTTGATACATCACTGCAGGGACAGGACATGTTGTTTGGGTGAGCAAGTTCAGTCAGAGTTGGCTTGACTGTGTCAGTTGGATAAGTGTTGGGCGGAGCTTGCCTGGCTCTGTGCCTTAGACACGCAGAAGCAGCTGCATGCCTCTCCAGCTCATGGAACAGCTGACTACAGTTATATTTCCAGGCAGCTGAGAACCTCTCCCTCTCACACAAGACGTCTCTGTCAGAACAGACATTCTGCAGTGGTAGATTTCTTTCCAGGTTGCTGCTAATCAGTGTCACGTTGCATAGAGGCATCTCTGCGTCAACATGCGTTGGGCATAAAGCTGCATAATAGTTTTATATACTGTACACTGAGCCTGCATAGGAGATCCAATATGAGACATTCCACTCACAGAAGAAAGGGCAAACTCACTGGAAAATAAGTAAAAAACAGGAGCTTCCAAAACTGGGTTTCAAAAAATTATTCAGTGAAATAGAGAAAAAGGGCCACTAATATCTGTGCAAGAAGTGGTAGACCACCAAAACTATCAGCAGCCTTCGTCTTTGAGAGATAGGAGAAAATCGAGCTCTACATTTGCTTCAGATCTGAAAAAAATCCACAGATGTTTCTGTGCATCCTTCCGCTGTGAGAAGACAACTCAACACTATGAGTCTGAAGGGATATGTAGCTCTCAAGAAGCCCTTTTGAGAAAAGAAAATATACAAAAGAACAATATTCTGGCCACCACAGAGTCCAGACCACCACCATCACTGAATGTGTTAGGGGTTACTTAAATCGGGGAGGCAGAAAATGCAAACAGCATGACTGAATTTTGAAAGTGTGGAAGTGTGTGTATTTGATTGTTGAGGGTTCTGTGAAAATGTCTGTTAAATATGTTTTTTTTTCTTGACAATGAAAAATGAATATCTTGTACTTAGTGGCCGTTTTGACTGGAACTTAAATAAATGAAGGGTGGTCTCTGATTTTTCACAGTACTGTACATCCGTGCTGTAGCATTTCAGTCCAGGCCATCAGTGGTCATTTTGGCCAACAACACAGTGCTTTATCATGTAGCAATGGTAGTGCTCAAATTATTAAAACTATTGATATATGAAGGGGATGACTTGTAAGTGGGGTGATTTTGAAGTGTTTATCTTTTGTAGGTGATCGCGCGTAATGAACTGATGCTGGAAGAGACAAGAAACACCATTACTGTACCTGCCTCCTTCATGCTCCGAATGCTGGCTTCACTCAATCACATACGAACAGGTAAATCCCTCACTACACGTCTTAGCTACACTGTTTGAGCCACTCCACCTGCTGTATCGACTGTGTGTCAGTTCTCACTCCCAGCTCTGGTGGGTGGCACTCCAGCTCTAACACACCAATTATGAGGTCCTTCAGCAGTTGAGTCAGCTGTGTTAGAGCAGAGAAGGCAACAAACTGCCGTGTAGGACTGAGACAGAAAGGTGATTATTATATGAAGAGTTTCAATATGATGTATATCCTTTTGTAAATGTTTTGGATATAACAGAGTTAATACAAAGAATAAAAGTTGATGTATAATGAAAACATTTTTATTTCTCCAATAAAGATCATATTAATATGGCATTGATATTCGTTGGATGTTTCCGCTTTGTTGTATGTATGGTGTGCTAGGCATATTGGAACAAAACCCTTTTAATAACAGACCACTGGTTGCATTGAAAATGAGGGTCACCCTCACTGTCTCAATGTGTTTCCGAGTGAAAATAAAGATGGATTGATTTGTTATACCTAGCCAAAAAAAAATCCTGTTTGCAGTTGATAAATGGGCAATTTGTAAATGGGATCAGTTCATAACTACGCATGGTTTAAAGAGAAAATCTGTCAAAAACAAATTCCCCTTTGCCAGAAATAGGTCAACTCAGAATTCTTTTGTTTTACACTGCATCTGTGATGCTAATGTAGCTGACCAGTAACGGACGACTAGTGTTGGAAACTAAGCTCCAGAGCAAAAGAAGCAAAACCTGGCTGATTGCCTATATTTTGGGTAAAAGGAAAATTGTGTAAATTTAGATTTTATCTGTCGATGTCTCTGTTGATTGATCTGTGTATCTGTCTACCTGTTTACCTATCTGTGTAAACTGCTTTGTAGCTATCCATGTTAAAAGGACTCTCCAGCCCATTTCAAAAATGTTAGTCACCACTGTTGGTGGTGCTGCAGTACTCTTTAAAGCTGATGATGTATCCTGAGGGTGGAAGTTAATTTTATACAGGTGCTTTGGGGTGGATACTTGGAGCTGTTTGAGTTCTTGTTGATAGCTGGCTGAATTATTCCTTTAACAGGCAAAAATGTTTGATGACCAATTGAGTTTAGTACTGTATCACATCAGAGGCTAGCAGTCAGGATTTGTGAACAATGCAAGGGTTGTGCATTCTGGGTATTGTAGTGAAAGAACACTGATGGACAAAAACATGAAAACGATACAAAATGGTGAATTCTGTCAAACTGATGAAGCTGACGGATGCAACACTGCACTACAGAATATTACACAACAAACAACATATTAAATGCAAGTTTTAGGCTGGAAAGCCCATTGACACTGTTGCTTTAAGTACTTGATATTTGATATTAGAATCATGTATAGAATATCTCCAGATACTTCTGACGCCACAGAATCAGCTACAAACTTAGGGTTTTTAAACATAAGCAGGCATGTGTGTCCAACATCCAAATGACATTGGCCTCTGACCGACTGCTGTCTGTCTTCTCTCCTCCTTCCAGACCGCTCTGAGGGCTCCGGGCAGGAGAATGAGGACGAACAGTGACCCTGCTGCGATTTCCTTCTTTCTCTTTCTTCAATAAACTGTTTCTTTTGCATTGAAACAGATGAATATTTGAGATTTGTACAGGTTATAATGTAGAATATTCCCTTGTTAGATCCATTTTTAGTATTCTTTTTTAAAAAAAAATGACTTTCCTACTGATTACTCCAAATGGGAGTAAATGCAGTCTGTGCGGAAAAAGACATGAATGCTGACAAGGGCGATATATATAAATATATATTAAGTAAAATAAAATAAAAAAAATTGGAAAAGGAATGTAGATGATGGGTGCTTAAGAGAATATTTAAGTGCAATATTTCTGTTGCGCAAATGGTTGAGTGTTGATCAGTGTTGTGTGATTTTTTTTTTTGTTTTTTTTTTTGTAGCATCGTATCACTAAAAGAATTCAGATGTTTGTATACCTGGAGTTATGCATGTCAGACATGAAATCATGCTTTAAGTTTCTATTGCTGAAAATGATTTCCGTTTTCAGTTTTCTCTGTACTCAGTATGTGGGTTGTGTAAAGATAGTCTGTCTTTTTCAATCCCAATGATTCTTCATTCGTTCTTCCAGGAGCAACCTGTTTGTTTGGAATCAAATACCAACTGCCATGTCTACAGACTATAAGTAAGGCTTCAAATCTGAGAGTTTGTACTGTTGAAGGATCCAGACAAGGTTGTATTAAAGTGCACTGCATGTGTAAAAGAAATGTGAGTAGGCAGGTATGTAGGTTCATACCGTCGGCCTTTGATCAGTCAGTTCAGCCCACAGCTATTGGGCAAAATGGTTCTGCTCACTGATGGCTGGCAGAGCATTGTTTTGAGTGTTTCTCTGCTAACAGGACAGATGGTATTTGTTTTGGCAGCTGCTGACCAGAGTGCTCTGCTAAGTGGCTACTGATTATAGGGGAGCAGACAGAATGGCTCTGCCTCAGCCTCCATCCCCCTGTGGTGCTTTACACCAGTCATTTCACACCATTCAGGAATGTTAGCCATCTCTTCCTCCACCACTCGTGAGAACTCTAGCTGTACACAAGAGTATAAAGGAGAATATGAATATTTATGGTATTGAATGTGCTGTGAAATATGGACACTGAACGCATTTTGAAAAGAAACTTTTAAAAGGATTTAATTACTTTAACATTTGAAATGGATAATCCGAACTTTCTTTTGGATCGCAATAAACCATTACAAGAAATCCTCAAATCCAGTCTCTTTATGGCATTGCTTTGTTTTCAAGACCATGTACAGAACCCTGAATATTGATTTTGGTATAAAAACACTTCACACACAATGCATTTTCCAAAACATTCCACAGGAATTAATTGAGAATGCACACTGTTCTTTGTTAAATATGCAGTTAAAACATACCAAGGCTGTGCACTTTTTCCTTAATCTGAGAAGCACCAAATGTCAGATGCTACATACCATTTTCAAGTGCAGTTGTACATAAAAGACAATTGTAACACTGCTTCTGCTGCAATTCAGTACCAATACTAGTGGCATTCAGAGTGGATGGACTCTAAAGCTTTTAAGGCATCATATGACCCCTCATGACCTATAGCTGGAATAAGCCTATCCCAAAAGAATAGGGGTTGAATATCTTGTCAAAATACTGCTTATAATGCACCTCATGGTCTGTTCTTTACATTGTGAATAATCTCAAACGTAGTATTGTAGCCCCTACACTGTAAAATATGGGTGAGCAATATATCACTTTCATGATAAAATGTTACAAATACACTTCTCTGAGTATGTTGTATCGTATCAGTACATTTAGAACATTAAACAAATGCATGTATCCATAAAGTTTAAAGTGTATTACAAAATTATTTTTAAAATGTGGCACTACTGTTTTGCTGCTGCATTTTGTCCAATTTCACTTGTTCATAAACCTTGAAAACACTAAAGAATGTGAAACATTGTATATCATGAAAATGTCTGAGTACTGCGATTTTTGTTTTATACTGCCCAGCCTACTAAAAGACCAAACTGTCTTCACATGTAAACAGGAATACAAGATTAATCATTTAAAGAACACAGCTAGCATTAAGGCAGGGTCTGTATAGTATAGTCATCTAGCATAATATGTACCCTAACATACATGAGGAATATTAAATCTACATAGTGTCATTACTAAATACAGTGGTCATAGGTAACGGATCCAGTACCAAACAAATTCCAAAGTTATGTTCTTTTGCAATATCATTTGACTGTACAAAAGTATAGCTTTGCTGAGGGAAAGCAGTACACTAGCATGTCTCCCTCACTTTGCTACTCCATTACAATACACTTCACCAAAAAGGGAGCCTTTCCACACCAGACCTGGGCTATTAACTCTCACAGTGTACCTTATCCAAGGCTGTGATTTAAACAAACGCCACTCAGTGTTGCCATGTTTATCAATGACAAACATGGCACCACACACCTGTGGTGGTGTAGGGTAGGTATGTTCTGTACCATATAAGGCAGCAATGTGCACAGTGGGCAGGTTATATACTGTACTCTAAAGTGCAGTAGATAAAGAAACTATACAGAGCCATCATGGACGTTTTCTTCATCTTCTTGTTCGTTATCTTTAACAATTCCTTCATCGATGCTCTCCATCCTGAGTCTCTGTCCATTCAGGTAGCGAGGCCCTCGCTGAGTGTGGCGTACAATCAGTAGACTGCTGGAGACTGGCGTGCTCTCCCCGAAAAGCTGCATCTTGGCATCGTTCTCTATAGACTTGGCCAGACATGACGCAAAGCTGTCCAGAGACTTATGTATGTCTGCAGTGACTTGGACTGTTGGGCAGTCACCTGAATAAAAATGTAATTTTAGGTAAGACATGGCTAGCCACAAAGGTCAAAACCACATGTTCCAACATGATGGGAAGACTAACTGCTTCAGTAAAAACTATTATGAAGTAACCTGATTTGATATTTGACATTAAAGGGGAATTCCAAAATTTTTTTCACAATTTTGGCATAAGTCATTGAGTGTTTTGATGTGAAATGGTGCACTGGTGGAAAACTCAGACTCTGATTTCTTTTCAAAGGAAGTAACAGGAAACGGGTCGCAATGTCCACATTTAAATATATCTATAGATCCAAAACAACCAGTTAACCTATACTGACAAAGGTGAAAAATAAGGATAAATCTGTTTTTTTGTTTTTTAAGGCATTGAGGTACTATTTTTTCTTTCAACATGCTGTATGCACCTCTTCACTATGAATGGATTTAAAAAATTGTTTTAGACCAAAACCTTTTCTCAAAACTACCCTAAAACAATGTCACAGGCATCAGGCAATGTAGTCATAACTATTCTATTTAGTAACTTTGTGCGGGAGCTTTTAGAGGCATTAAAAACTTCTGAAGTCTGGTTCCTATCACCACCATAGTGAACAATTCGGACTCGGTAAGTTTCTCTAGAACAGAGCATTTCACATCAATACTTCACTGTAAAGTTACACTTTATTTGTAAACATTGGTGATGTTTCCCTTTAACGATGAGCTTATCTGGTCACAAAACCCATCAAATGCAATACCTTTGTGAGGTTGCTCCACTTGGTCCTCAAATGTGACGGAGCTTCTTCTCTTAATGCCACTATAGTGTGTAGAGTGGGAGATTTCTGAGGAGTAGTTATCTAGTAGCATGACGTCTGTAGCTGGAGGGTGAAAACACTGAGAATCAGTCAAATACCTTAACACAGGTCTTAACATAACCATAACCTGCATAAAGCGTTAAAATGCCAGACATGCGAATGTCGCATACAAAGTACAGTCTACAAAATCAGCATTAATCACAGCTGACTGCTCTGTGGTGTTGCCCAAAACTTGACTCTTCTGTGAGTTTGCGTCTGAGTTCTGCGCCCAGTCACTTCTAATGGTTTACAGGAAACATTTCTCGGCTCTGTAGGTTTGCCAGCAATGGATAAAAGCTCTTTGACTGTAATCGGTGTTGGGAGTGGTCACGTGCATGGCTGACTGAGCTTCCTGAGTTGTAGACATACCAGAATCCTGAGTATAGCTGAAACCAGTGTCACCCGTACTGCTGCTGGGCCCCAAAAGCTGCCCTCCGCCCACCAGCATGGCCGTCAGGTGAGGAGACATTCCTAGGTCTGCATGAGAAAATCAATTATGAACGTTTGAGACAGAAAACAGCACACTGTAGTTTTGTATATTGAGAGTATGGCTGAGGCCAAAACTTACATCCACTTACAATGTTTATGTACCAGTCATAATTTATTCCCATATATGACCGCTTTGCGCCCTCTCTTTATCCCTTACAATTAAATAGGCCGTGTTAATATGAAGAGGGACCTCTTTTCTGATCAGAAGACCTGTATTGTGCTTCATTCAAACAGCAGTCTGAACTAAAACACTCCTTATAACTTCAATATGAGTCAGGGGGCTAAACTGCTGTAGGCTGAATAGGTGGGTTTATGTAAATGTGCTGGTTTTCTTAACATCACAAAACCAATAAACTGAAACAGGATGTTTTTACAGCTTTATTTCCACATATGGACTGGGGAGTGAATGGTACCTTATGAAACTTTAAAAACATTTACATGTGTCAAGCTCTTTGGTTAAAGGAAAATGAAAAAATGTCCATTATGTGGGCCCTGTATTTAGTATTGCAATGTTGGCTTTTGCAATACTGATATGTTAAAAGGCTGCCAATTTACAAAAATCACAGAATTACAATATAATGCAATAGTTACATCATAATTGCAGTGTGTAGTAATATAACTGCAATACTAGCATTCTGTTCATACTGTCCAGCCCTCATGGTTTACAGCATTAAAAGGCAATGAAAAAAGAATGCAACACATGCTTGTTAAATGCTAAAACATACTTTCAACATCTTTTCTAAACCTATGATTTTGCTGCACTGTCCAGGTTTTTGGTCACCTGTCCAGGAAAAGTTCATTCCATTCCTGGACACAAAATGCCCAGGAATCTAAGCACTGTCTTAACTTTTTTATATATCTTAATTTGAGCATCCAGGAATTTTACAGCACTGAGGTGACGACCTTACTGCAATGGAACCAAGTAAGTCAGTCATTTTCCACTCACCTGTGATTCGATTGGAGATGCTGAAGAGTCTGGACGTCCGGTGGCGTGTAACGAATGACTCTCTGTAGTAGCGCCCCCCAAAGCACATGCCCAGGAGCTCCTTGCGTACAGTCTTGTTCCACAGGCCATAGATGAGCGGGTGACAAGCTGCACTAGTGAATGATAGCCAGGACACTAGGGTCTCCAGCTGTGGAGAAACACTGTCTTTTCCCCAATATGCCTCAGTTCCGATGACCACCATATAGGGCCCCCAGGTGGCCAGGAATGTCCCTATGACCACCAGGATGGTTACTAAGGCCTTGCACTGGCTGCCCGAGTATATAAGGCTCTTGCGGCTGCCGCTGGACGAGGTGGAGGTATTTGAGTTCTTTCGACCGTTCTTGTGCGAGCCGGACTCCTCTTGAGGAACCACCACGGCCCCACAGTACACCTTACGAGCTTTAATACGAGCCACACGGAAAATAACTCCATAGCATACTAGCATGGCTACCAAGGGAAGCAAGCAGCACCATGTGATCCAGAAGGCAGTATAGCTGACCTCCCTGTGCCAGGCCGCCGTGCAGGTCCATTTGAAGCGATCAAATTCGAATGTGGACCACCCGAAGAGAGGCGGCAGGCAGCCCACTAAGGAGTGAATCCAGACATAAGCAATGGCCACCATGGCCCGGTTTCCTGTGATCTTCATGGGGTAGATCATAGGATACAGCACAGCATAATACCTACAATCATGAATGGACAGCAGCATTAAAACAGTTACCACATGCTCCTCACAAGAGGAATGAGTCAATGAAATGACAAGGAACCCTTTCTGTAATATATTCCAGCTGGCCAAAATAATATCCACACAACATCTTTACTCAATATACCCTCTTTATAAATCAAAAGTGCCCTCTTAGCTTTGAGTAACGACTCTAGCTGAATAGGCCTGATTCTCTCTGTGTATCTTATTCACAAACACAGAGAAACCTTTGAATCTAGTGTAGCCATTAAAGAATGCTAAATAGACGGCACAGAGCACTTGAACAAGGATGACTTCACACGAGCCTTGTGACATTTGGTCTACCACATTAACCCACACAACCCACAAACACCACAACTGCATATTTATCTAAGCGTGACTGTTGTTTCTCAAAATGTTAATTTACTTTACACCACCACAACATTTATTACGTTAATAAAAATGATTGGGCTTGTTTCCCAGACCCATATTAGGTCTAGACTAAAGAAGAACTTCCAATGGTGATACACCAGTGGCACTGCAATTTAGCCCAGGACTCTGCTTAAACCACAGGTTCTGGAGATCCAGCACCCTGGAGAGTTCAGATCCAGGACATCTGACTATAATGCTCAGACGTCCCTGAAGGCCTTTATTATCTGGATCAAGATTAGTGTTGGAGCTAAACTCTGCAGGGTGGTAGATCTCCAGGACCAGGACTGAGCACCCTTTGGTTAATTATGCTCAAGAAACCCCCAAGATATAACATTCTTAAATTTAATTTAAAACACACGGCATGAACTAAATGTGCCAAAAACTCACCTGTCAATGGCAATGGCTCCTAGTGTGAGCATGCTAGCTGAACTGACCAGCAGATAAAGCAAGGCTGTGAAGTTGCACCACACTACACCAAAGATCCATTCTCTCCGCACTGAACTGGCAGCTACAAAGGGAAGCGTCAGCACAGAGAGCAGCAGGTTGGAAAACGTCAGGCTGAAGACGAACTTGTTGCTGGGTGTCAGCAGGTATGGCTTCTTATAGAGCGTCACCACGATGAGCAGGTTCCCCAAGCAGATGAGCAAAGCAATAACGATGATGGAGGCTGACTCCAGCACCACCGTCCCATCGGCACCCAGAACGCCAGTGGCATTCCCCACTGCTGTCCCATTCCTGCTGCTGTTCATAGTGGGAAGCTAGTATGCACCTGGAAGGAAAAGACTTAATGAAGCAACACCGAGCACCCACACATTAACAGCCCTCTGTATTCAGTGTGAATGTGAGAGAAAATCCTGAGAAATTAAAGCAGGTAATGAGTTCACACAGTGGTGTGTGCACAGTGCAGCACTGAGAGACCATCTGAGGCCCTCCATCAAAAATCCCTGAGGATTACACTTCTGGTCATACAATGCAGCATTTGTTATTTCACTAAGATCTGCTAATAGGAAGCTTAAAGGGGAAGCCCACGGATTTTTCAGAACTTCTGCATAATTAAATCGTTAACATGGAAACCAGTTTACTCAGAGTGTTTTGAGGTGAAATGATGCATTGGAGACAAACTTGCCAACTATTTTTGAAATGGTGACAGAAAGCAGTGGTCACAATATCTACAATGCAAATATGACCATTTTCTTTGCTATCCAAAATGACCAGTGAACCTGTGTCTTCTGAATTTTATGACATGTTGATGACAAGGTAAAATAGGAATAAGTCTCAAAAAAGTTTTCTTTGGGTACTGCTTTGCCTTATGACACTCTGCATTTACCTCTCCACCATGAATGGATTAAAAATATGTAGAAATTTGTCAAAATCGTATCACAAAACTATCGCAAAACAATATCTCATTTGTAACCATTTGATGTAATAAATATCTGTGAGGAAGCTTTTAGAGGCATTAAATTCAGACGTCTGGTTCCTATCACCACCACTGTGAACAATTCTGACTCTAAAAGTTTCTCTAGAACAGAGCATTTCACACCATACCACTGTGAATGACTTTATTTACATCTTAACGATTTAATTATGCAGAACATTTGAAAAATCAGTGGAGTTACGCTTTAATGAGGGGTAATTTGTAACCAGACGTATCAGGCAAGTCAGTCTTCATGTGTTTCTGTATGAGGCTGGAAAATATGACAATATTTATTGTTATTAGGATTAATTACACAATGTCACAATATGCTTCTGGGAGCATGTCGTGGATATCATCAGTACCTGAGAAATACTTTACAACTGCATGTTTGATTACAAGAAGAGCAAAATTAGCGCAGTTTCACTGGATTTACAGCAGGACAGTGTGTGAAATGCTAAATACAAATCACTGGATTTACAATGTTGTTAAAGGTTCCAACTCTGTTCCAACTTATCAGATGCCAGAAAAAATAAATATTGTGATAAATCGTGTATCGTGAAAAAAAAAAAAATCATGAACTACGGTGCTATTACATGTTTTGCCATATCGCTCATCTCTATGTCTATTTTAGCTCATAACCTCATAACTGACAGGACAGGACGGATACACGGTTAACTGCTAGCTAAGTTAGTTACCGGTCTAACAGAAGGTTTAAGAGTTGGTGGCTGTGATTCTAACTACCAACGACACTGACACTTTTAAAAGGTCTTGGGTAAAAATGGGCAAACTGCGACAATTTATCTCAATGCTTCTTATTACAGATTGAGTCAAACTGATGCAAAATATTCACAAACGTTACGGATACCGAGCCTAAAGCAGGCTGAGTAGCATAGTTAGCTCAGTAAGTGTAGCGTAGTTAGCCGAGTTAACGTTAGCTTTCTAGCAGCGCGCTTTTCGGTTTTTATTTTCGTATAAAAACATGAAGTTTTAAAATAACGCCAACGGCATTCTGAACCAAACAAACACCCCCATATTCCCTTAAATCCACTTCCACTCCTCACTGACAAAGAGATAAAGCGGAGTTAGGAGCAGACTGGAGCAGCGGGCTAGCTTAGTTAGCCGCTTTGTATTAGAGAAGAAGAAGTGAAACTTTCTCCTCTTCGGTGGTCTCTTGTAATCTTACCTCCTCCAGCGAGATGCTTCAAACTATCTTCGCCGTCCCATGTTAGCATTTTCCAAAGGCAGAAACTTTTTGGCGTTGTGTTGAAACAACCAGTGTGCGGTTTTTCCAGTTATTTCCATTCGCCGCGGCGGAGCGGAGTCCCTCTTTGTGGTCGGCGGTGGGGATAAAGAGGGCAGTCCTTGGTTTACAATGGCGACGAAATTGCCATTTTTCCAAACTCCCCTCTGCTCTCCTCCACACACCAGCACTCACTCAGACAGACTCTCCAGCACCTGTGGGTGGTCCGCTCTGTGTGCAGCTGAGCTCATGTTTTACAGAACGGATTCCTTTATATTTCTTGCTTATCAGCCGGCAAAAAATACTATATTATTCAATACAGCTTTTCCCTCTAAACCCTAAACTCCAAGCTCTACACATTTAAGCCGAGCATTTTAGTTGTAATGTTTGATCAAATAAATTATAATGTTGATCTCATCTGGTTATTGCTAAAAAAGGCAATATTGATGATTATTTAAATACATTCTTTCAGCACAATAGACCACCAGGAGAGATCAAAAGTTCCCGCAGTATTTGGCTGAAGGATCATGTGTAATTGAAGGCCAATCCAATAGAAGGGGGAGGGGCCTGGAGCCTGATGAGTAATGCCCCTCTCCGGCCACTAGGTGGAGCCAACACGCTGTATTTACAGTAATCTACATGGAGAACAAAAACCGAGCCATCCCTCACGTAGATCATTTTAATACAGAATTATTAGAATCAAATAATACAATAATAATACAAATATAGAAAATAAATGTCCAAAACTGTAGTTCTTCGTCCTCTCCTGCTTCAACAACAGCACTCAACAAAATGACACTGTCCATCATTCAAAATCACACCCAAGCAGCTCAACCCTCATGGTGACAGAGTTCTGCCATAGCTTAGGAATAATCCTGATAAATTTGGAGAATATTGGAGGGTAGATGTAATTTTTCATATGCTCGTTGTTATCTGAGTTTCCCGTGAATGTCTGCAAAGAAGAAGAAGAAGGAGGAGAAAAGGTTAAAACACCGACCGAACACTGCATCAAAAAACTGAATTTATTCAGGTTCAATAAGGCACACTCTTAAAAACATGGTTCTTCAAGTGTTTGTTAGTGAAGACAGTAGTTCTATATAGACCATGAACACTCAAAGAAACATTTGCATGTTTAAATGGTTCTTTGCATGGTAAAATGGTTCTTCAGATTGTTGCAGAAGTGGTTGTATATGGTTCTATATAGAACCTTTTTGAAAATGGTTCTATACAGCACCAAAAAGGATCTTCTATTGTTCTGATGTTAAGCTTGTAACAATAGAAGAACCATATCCATCAATCTGAAGAACCAGGTCACCATGCAAAGAACCATTAAAGTATGAAGTGGTTCTATACAAAATGCTCATGGTTCTGAATAGAACCATTCCCTTTACTAAAGAACCCTTGAAGAACCATCTTTTTTAAGAGTGTAGGCCTATACCTTCTGCTCATAGTCCTCCTCATCTGTGTACTTGGTCCATTTCTTGCCATCCTCACTGTACTCCAACACAAACGTTGTTACAAACATCTCTGTGCCAAGTGACTTTGCTCCCTGGGTCACAATTCCTGTGATCTTCTTGACCTCTTTCAGTTCAATCTGGAGCCATGGCTGCATGTCATTGCTCTGTGAATGGGAAAAAACACACACATTTTCTAAGCCGCTTATCCTTCTAGGTTGCGGGGGGATCTGGAGCCTATCCCAGCGGCCAATGGGCGGAAGGCAGGAAACACCCTGGACAGCTTACATGCACACACACACTTGGGAGAAAACAGGACTGTGATAAATAACCCAGTTTGTGGTTAAGTGTATAAAATATGATCTTTAGGCTAGTTACCTTGGCTTGCCACGCATTGATGGCCCCTTGTTTATCTAGACGGGCAAACCAAGGGTTCCAAGACCCTGAGTACCAGCTGGTGGCAACAGAGCTGGCTGTGATCTGATGGTCACCGATAAGTCCACTCTGCATTCCCAGTGGCACGGAACACCCTGTACATGTGCAAATTGTACTTATTAGGGCACATCCCAGCGAAGTGTAAAATGCATCCTCTGTTTTTCGCATAAAAATGATGCAAGAACATCAAAGGTGTCCGATATGCCCACCTACCATCTAACTCACAGCCGTAGAACTCCATGCGGACAGTCGGATAATTGTATGAATGGGAAGGGTAAAGCCTCACGAAGCGTCCAATTATGGGTGGGAAGAAGATATTCTCCTTCACCTCATGGGCTTCCCTGTTACCTTCAAAAGTCTTCGGGGAATTGGAAAAGGCAAATCAGCATTTACAAATAAAGCACCACTGCACTGTAATGCAGCCTAGTATGTGTTGAGTTACTTGCCTTTCTGGATGCTTTGCTGTCACCTTTGTAGAAAATCCACCTCCTGCGGTCTGTGCTGTAGGAGATGGTGTAGTTTAGCACAAAGTGAGAACTGAAGAGCTGCTTGGCTCCCTGGGTGGCCACTTTACTGATCACCACTGGCCTCTGGAAGTCCACCTGGAGAGCAAGACACAGTAACTTCTTATTAGCACATCTTAGCTTATTGGCTAGTAGCTTTCGGACTGTCATAGTGTGATGATACCTGAATCCATGGATCTTTTGATGTTGTACTCCATGCATTGTATTTTCCTGTATTGTGCAGCCTGGCCAAACTAGGCAGCCAGTAGCCTTGAACACAAAACAAGATGGATAAGATTGTCAAATTTGGCAATTGTCATGCTGTCTGAATCATAAAAGACTGTGGAGGCGGGTCATACTTCTGCTGTCGGATGCTGTTATTTGGCTGTTTTTCACAGCCCCAGAATTAAGACCAAGAGGGTGTTCACACACTGCAAAATGAAAACAAACAAAGAAACAAAGGTTTCAAATTTAAAAAAGAAAGAAATGATTCATTTCAAATGCAATTTCCTCAATCTATTCCCCATTCCAGGCTTTCATTCCTTGCTCAAATGACTTTTATAATAGTAATAACAGTTTTATTTACTAAGCAAGAATAATACATTTCGTACACGCAGACTACATCACTCTGATACAAATGGAAATAGAAGTTTGTATGTAAAGTGAATGCAAATGTTACAAACTTACCCCATAGGCAGGATTAATTGCTACAGGCTGTGAGGTTAATTGTAACAGTCACAAAATGTTCCAAAATTACTTTACATTAACTTTTATTACAAGTTTGAATGTTTTTTTCTTCTCCTGTAAAGTTGCCAGTTTGGAAACAAGAGGTTTTGTTCTGACACTGACAGTATATATCAGAGTAAATATTATTAGTGAAAAGCGGCTGCGTCAAATGTGGGAAATTAAGTTTTATCCATTAATTAGAGCAAATATCAGCACAATAAAACTGGAATATATTTTATTTACATGATAATTATGGTGGTTTCGAGAAAACTTGTGTGGGGATTTATGGACTTCTCTCATTATTTACTTTGGGTGGCACAGTTGTGATGTTGTTAAAACTAATCCCACCATATGGAGGTTGTGCTTTAGCGTCCTTCAGAGTTAGTTATAGGTCATTATGGTGCTATATTACAGCCACCAAGTGGGTGATTAAAATAATACAAGAGTGAATTTTGACATGCACACATTATTCAGTAATCACAAAACTATTGTGATGAAAAAAGTAACTTGGTAAATTAAAAAAGTAAATTTGTCGTCCGAGTAGATCTTTTTTTACATTTTACCCAGTGTTAGTTTGTGCCCTGCTCTCCCCTTCTTGCATAATTCATAGGAAATAAGTCTTAAAATCAACAACTTAATAATAAGACTTGAGGAGTAATAGGTAATATATTATGTTCAAACATGGTAAAAGAATTTGATACCATTGTCCAACACTAAAAACAGAGTCTGCATCCCCATCTGGTGAGAGATTCCAATCTCAGACTCCAGCAGCCACAAGCCTGGCTTTGAGGGCCACATCTCCAGAGTGGCAAAGCCTCCTGCATAGCACAAACGAAAAACACAAAAGGGACAGTTAGATCATTTCAAGAATGAAGGAAGCTACTTATTTTTAACCGAAAAAAAAAAATAAAAACCAACAAACCTGGTAAAAGTGGATAGACTCCCTGACGCTGGTCACGTGTATGTTTGTTCAGGAAGGTTTGGCCATGAAAGTGAATACTGTGGAAGTCTTTTGGAGAGCCCATGTTTATAAGATGCCACTTTACCAGCTGATTAGTGTACATGCGGAGTCCTTTAAGACTATATATAATTCCATTGATAGCTGAGAAAATATACAGAGGACAAAAGAGAGCAGTTATTATGTCACTAGTTTAGACTTAAACTATGAGTGTACAGTCAATTTTAACTGATGTGTGTGTAAGCTTGTCTAGATGACTTCCATTGTTTTCAAGAAGACTCCCAGTTGGTGTAAATTACTCAATACAGACACAGTCATAGAAATTGTTTGCAGGGTTGAATAACTGAATAATGAATAATTGAATGACTATTGCACAGATGTAATATGGCTTATGAATATTGCATCATTCTTATAAAAATAAAAAGTATTATACATACAAACATACTTTTATACATACTTATATACTTATATATACACACATACAGTACTGTGCAAAAGTCTGAGACCCCTCTACATTTATTTCATTTCCAGTCAAAACAGACATTAAATAAAAGTTTTTCTTTTTAGGAGATTTCTGATGTGATCAGAGATAAGATTATGCACTTGCCTAAGGAAGGGGAAAGTCAAAGAACAATGAGTGAAAAAACAAAAAATTCCAAAACTATAGTTCGAAAGATATAGACAAAAATGGGACCTTTTAACAACCGTGCAAGGCGACCTAAGCTTTCATCTTTGAGAGAGAAGAGAAAATCAAGCTCCACTCTTGCTAATCATATCTGAAAAAATCCACAGGTGTTTCCGTCCATCCTTCGGAAAGGATGTCTAGCTGTCAACAAGCTGTTACTTAAAAAGGAAATAGACAAAAAAGACTAAAATTTGCAAAAAGCTGCTGGTGTTCTCAGAACAATGGACTGTTTGCCCCACAGTCCAGACCTCAAAATCACTGAATTTGTTTGGGATTACTTGGATTGTGAGAGGCAGAAAATGCAACCAACTTCTAAGACTGAACTTTGAAGATGTGGAAAAATTATCCCTGCAGATTTCTTTGAAAAACTGAAAGCAAATGTCCTGAAAATAATGGAAGCTGTAATAAAAACAAAGAAAGAACAAATTAAATACTGAAAAAATAAATATTTGGTTGTTTAGTTGTGGCCTCTGTGTACTCTTCTTTTAAATATATGATTCCAGATCCTGACACTAAAATTAGTAACTTGTACTTACTGGCCATTTTGTCTGGGGTGGTCTTTGACTTTTCAACAGTACTGTACTAATGGAGAAGAAGATCAACAATTATACCATGAAATTTGATATTGTTGTTGAATTCTGGGTCCAAGACAGCTTTTCTGTCAGTCTTCTCAAGATTTGCTCGGTTTGTCTCGTAGTACCAGCTTTTGGTCTCATCAAACGTCATAAAGAGTAACATGAAGTCCCTCGTGTCTATGGGACTTTT